TCCCATCTAATGAGAACTTGCTTAAACTAACAGCAACAATGGCTGTCTTTATTGAGTACTTACTCTGAGCCGGGTAATGTGCTACATTCTTTTTACACGTTCTTTTATCTTTATGAGGACCATAAAAGTACCAAATTTTTATCCCAATTTTCTAAGACATAAAGACTGAGGTTCCATGAGCCCAACTGAGCCTCTGACAGAAAGCAGGGCTCCATGAAAGACGGCTATAGTTTGAAAGATTGGATCCTCCCACCCCAAATTCAAATGTTGAAACCAGACCACCATGGTGATGGCAGTAGGAGGTGGCTCTTTAGGGGAGGATGTAAGTAGGTCTCCAGAGTAGACTGCTCATGAATGGGATCAGTGCCATTGTGAAGAGGCTGGAGGGAGCCCGTTTGTCCCTTACGCCTGTGAGGACACAGAGAAGACACCATCTGTGGGAAACGACACCCAAACCACTGATGCTTTGATCTTGGACTTCTCAGCCTCCAGAACTCAAATCTCGGTTGCTTATAAATTATACAGTTTAAAGGACTTGATCTTAGCAGCTGAAGGCACTAGGACAAGGACTCAGGACTAAGCTTCAATGTCCCTGGAGCCTGTGCTTGTCATCATTCTGCACTGCCCCTTAGTAGATGCCCTCTGACAGAATTCTACATTCTAGACTGTGAAACCCATTGTTCAATAAATAGCAAGTTAACAAGAACAGTGGAGGCGAGAGCCTTGGTATATCCAGATAACAAGGGTCCTCAGCCTCAAGTGGCACCCCAAGGTTGACTCTCAACAATAGACAGTGAAGGCTGGAGCAGAAGCCAGGAACGAGCCAGCTGGTAACTCTTTGGAGAGCTTTGCACAATTCAGCAAAGTGATTTGTAAGAGGCTCTTGGTGCTCTTTCGTGGTAAGTGGAAACATTAAATGTTCTGCTAAAAATTTAGAAAGAAGATAAACAAGTCCATTGTGGGCAGATGTCCGCTTTAACACAACAGGCACTATCAGAGGATGGCTGAGCACCTGATATGATAATCACCACGCAGGAAACATCCCTCCCCATTATTCACTAATGAAACAGCCTTTTTTTTTTTTTTAGACAGAGTCTCAAGCTGTTGCCCTGAGTAGAGTGCCATGGCATCATACCTCACAACAACCTCCAGCTCTTGGGCTCAAGTGATCCTCTTGCCTCAGTCTTTCTATTTTCAGTAGAGATAGGGGTCTTGCTTTTCTCAGGCTTGTCTTGAACTTGTGAGCTCAAGCAATCCACCCACCTCAGCCTCTCAGAGGCCGCACCTGGCTAAAACATTCTTTTCATTTTAGTACTGATTGTTACCAGGCCCAGAGAAATAGCACTCAAAGACAAGCCACTCTCAAGTCTATTTCTTTCTCCCTTTCTTATTGGGCCCACGTGATCCTCTTGGTTTAGACTCCTGAGTAGCTGGGACTATAGATGCCCAACATGACGCCCAGCTAGCTTCTGTATTTTTAGCAGAGACGGGGTCTTGCTTTTTCTCAGGCTGGTCTTAGACTCCAGAGCTCAAGCAATCCATGTACCTCGGCCTCCGAGAGTGTTAGGATTATAGGCATGAGCCACCATGCCAAGCCACCCAGTCTTTTTCCTTAATTGTGGGAGCCCTTGCCTCACAGTCATCTGGTGATTATCACAGAGGCAGATGAAGGGCCTGGCCTTGGCTGATAGAATCAAAATCTGCACAAGCTTCCTAGGTGATCCTTGCTCACACTTGAGGTTGCGGACCACTGGGTTCAGTTGATAGATGATGGCAACACAATGTAATAAGGGGATGGACACTCAAAATTTCAGGAGAACTTAGAGCAGCAAGGTCGAACCCAGTTTTTGATAATACCTTCTAGTGAAATAGTAGCTATCCAGTTTTAGAAAAAGCAAAGAGGTTTCTAAATGAAGCTAGCATGCAAGGTAAAGGATTAGGGGGAAACCCAAGTCAGAGTCAACTCTTCACTGCATGTGCAAATACACTTCTAATTCCTATGCCAACTTCAAACAATTTGTGCCACCAACACAGCCATTAAGTCCCACTCCAACTTCAGCAAGTTTAGGACAGGAAGAGTCTGGATTCCTAACTCCTTATCTTGGTCTCCGCCTGGCACTAACAAGACGACTGCACTTTAATCAGCTATTTACAAGTAAGTCTTTGGAGGAAGCGAGGCCTGGGATTATGTCCTGGTCTGTCACTGACAGACAAATCATGTAGCTTCTCTGAACACCAATATACTTACCTGTAAAACCAGAATAATCATCAAGAAAAGGCAGCTCAACATCACATGCCTCCTGATACAATGCCCCCCAAAGGACACAACATCATTTCCCTAGCATTTCTGCAAAAAAATGCAAAACTCGAGTCTAATCTCTAGGAGACATCAGAGGATCCCAAACTGAAGGGCTTTCCATAAAATAGATATCTTGTACATTACAAAAATGTCAAAGTCACAAAGAACAAAGACCAAGGAATTATTCTGGGCCAATGGAGACTAAAGAGACACAACAATAAACCCCAGGATATTAGACTGTACAAAAAATACCTTAAAATGACCTTTTGGAGATAACTGATGAATGTGAAGATGAGCCACAAACAGTGAACATGATGATTGTGTTACACAGGTGTTCAGTTTCCTGGGTCTTATGAAAGTACTGTGGTTATATAAGAAAATGATTTTATACTTAGGAAATACAGTCTGATTATTTAGGAATAATACGGGGATGGTGCCTCCAAGTCCCAAGTAAATGGTTCAGAAAAAGTGTAGGTGGACAGGAATTCTTTGTGCTATTCTTACAATTTCCTTGTGCTCGAAATTCTATCAAAAAGTTATTCATCAAAGCTATCAGGCCTCAAAAAACAAGGAAAGCCTCAGTAACTATTCAAGATTGAAGAAGACTTAGGAAATATGACAACTGCTACAACGTGGTTGGTATTCCTGGATCCCAGAACGGAAAAAGGACATTAATGGCAAAACTGGTGAAACCCAAATAAAGTTCACAGTTTAGCTCATGTAATGTGCCAATGCCAATTTCTTAGATTTGACAAATGTACCAAGATTAAGATGTTAAAATTAGAGGAAACTGGAATAAGTATATAAATGTAAGTATGTACAATCTTTACTATTTTCTGTAAATCTAAATTTATTCCAAAAAGATCATTAAAAAAAGATTATTAAAACACACACACAGCTAAAGCCGTTGCTAAAAGCAGAGAACACCACACAGACTCCGCAGGTACCTAGGAATGTGTACCAAGAACTGCTGTCTTAAACCAGAGATTCCAGAACTCCACCAAACGTGGCAGAATCAAAATTAAATAGGTTTCTGGAACAAATGAATTAGATTCTCTTGAAATAGGGTTACTGAAAACACTTATGTGAACAAGTGCCCAGGAGGTTTTCCGATAAGTACCTGAGTTTGGGTACCACACACCCAGCTCAGCGCTTCTCAGGCTCAACTATGCACAGTGAGTGATTCCTCTGGGAATCTTGCAAAATGCAGATTCTGGGTTAGGAGATCTAGGGTAAGACCACAGAGTCTGCATTTCTAACGGGATCAGGAGACATCCCAGTGTCTGGTCCTCGGCCCCTTATGAAAGGGCCTGGGTTCTCATCCCTGTGGAACACCCGAGACTGCTACGTGTCTGGGAGGGACCAACTGCTATCTTGTGGAAGCCTCTATTCTCCTAAATTATAGCCAAACCTAATCCCAACTACATTTAGTCCATACCAAGTATCTCCAGACGTTATTTTTAAGGTAAAGTTTAACGAGCACCCATCTCAAACCGCACATGAAAAAAGACAAGCCTGTGTTGCCTCAAATGATCGTACACAAAACTACGGAGTCTCTACTTGTCTCTATTTGCATGGATCACTTCCAAAGTCACTAAAAAAAAAAAAAATCTTAGCAGAAAAAATGGCAGTGATGTATAGTCTGATGACACCTTTTTGGACAATAATCTCCCAAATACACCCTTTCTTACATTCAATTGAAGTTCAACTAATTCTCATCTGAACTACATAATTCATTGTAAGGATTCCTCTGGATTCACACAATGCCTTCTCACTCTTGCACTGGTCTTCGACCAGAGAATAAAATCTTACTAGGAAACAAAACTGTAAATCATAATCATAAAATAGTATCAGGAGCATAAATAAAGATTAGAGTTGCCATGGGATTGCAATTTTAAAACTGCAGAAAGCCATCCAGAATCCTGTCTGACTTGCTTTATGAAACCCATAAGCGTGTATTACTCTCAACTCTTTTTTCTTCATACTCCAAGCATGACTGTAGTTAAGGGAGGATAAACATAACCAGGCCAAGATAATCTATAATCAGCTAGTAAATGAGAACCATTCCATAGGACTCTTCAGATCCAAAGGATGCCTTTCTAGGTAAAACCACTTTTATAAACTTTCTTGACGTTTTTTCAAATTCAATAAATATTTACTGACTTGGTACTACATGACAGACAATATGCTAGACACACATTTTAGAGTGAATTTTCTAAAAATAAAATTACCATTGGCTAGGATCCAAGACTGAGCCCCTCAATACTAACTTCATCAGAAAGCTGTTAATATAACAAAGTGCCGGTATACATGGCTGTTTCAGCGCAGAGAAAAATGATACAAGATATTCAGTTTTTTGTTGACTATGTTAAAACAATCTGCGCATATTCATGAGTCACTGAAAGGCAGAGCCGGGACAGCCTCCACTGTGTCCACCGCTCAGAGCCCCATGCATTTGTTCCTCCCGCCTCCCGCCCAGCTTCAGACACAAACCGTGGATTGACACACTCCAAGTAGACTTTAGAAGAGCATAAAACCCCTACTGACCGCCACTGCATGGGGCGCAGCAATCAAAGTACACTGCAACTATTAGTGCAGAGATTTTTCATCACAGGCAGAGAGAGAGAGTTACCTAAAATTTATGAAAATTCCAGGGTAGAAAGGAAACTGAAAATACCCAATTGCCGTCCACATTACTAACCTGGTCAATTTCCATGAGTTTGGGGTAGGCGCCCGGCCATTCTATGGCCACCTTGACGATGTCCGCGGGTGGCGGCATTGTGAGCCCCCAAAACTTCCAAAGCCAGCGGAACTGGGGATCCTACGCGTAGACGCCACACGTGTCTATACCTAATGGAGAATGACAAAGAGAGAAAGAGAAGTCACTCTCTGCAGATGCCGGGTGAATTCTGCTTCATCACTTCCTGTTTTCACTGGTGGTTTGGTATGAAAAACGGCTCCCCTGGGTGCCTGGGTGGTGAAGATGCAGAGGTGCAACCAAAGGCACCATCAGCTCCCCAGGAAAGAAGAGAGACCAGGGGGTCGGGGGCAACACCCTGAATCAAAGCCGCCAGAGGAGGCCGGCGGGGGCAATCTCCAGTGGAAAGAAGCTGTGCCTTACCACTGCCTGCTGCTCCAAGTGGTGCCTGGGGTCTGAACGGGCCCAGCTTACTCTCCGTCCAGACATGCATATAAATGCCTGGCGCTCAGCAGTCTCCGGAAGGACAGATTGCCCAGGAAGTCATGGTCAGGAAGCAGCATTTCTTTAAAGCATTTTCTGTGTGTCACAAATAGATCGCTGCACTATAGCAACCAGGATATTATGAGGAAGAAGAAATATCCCAAAAGTTCATACACATGCACACACACACACACAGTCCCTCCCCAAGGCCAATTCACATAATGTGCCTTCCAGGGGTGGGGAGAAAACTGTACAGATGTAGACAGAACAGCCTTCAAAACAGGCCTTGAATTCGCCTTTGAAAGAAGAGTGCGGCTTACACAAAGGAAGCAGCCCTATCCTCTGCCTCCTCTTCCCAGGCTAGCCGTTTCTTTTTTTAATTGCATTTTTTATTATTCACACGATTCAAAATATGTGTGTGTGTGTAAAGATATGCAGCACTGCCTTCCTTCTGCCAATGTCACACGCCCACCAATTATCCATTTTCACCCCCTAACCTCCTAGCGACCAAAAGTTACCAGCTTCTTAGGTATCTCTCCAGAACTTCTTCAAGTGTAGAAGGCAGATACAAAAATAGACTTTTACATTTTCCACCTTCCTTTGTAAAAGGCAGCTTTCCACACCTCTCTCCCCCACCTAGTGTACCTTCTAGTGCTGTCTGTTAGTCAGTACAAACGGAGCTTCCTCATCCTTTACCCAGCCGCACAGCAGTGCACTGTACAAATGCATCCTAGCTGATGAACCAGTCACCCACTGTGGGCCATCGCATGATGGCTATTATAAATAAGACAGTGCCACATAAACTTCTGCATACTTAATTTTGCACATGCACAAATACCTCCTTACAAGAAATTCACAAGAATAAAACTGCTGGGTCAAAGAATATATGCAGTTTTTAATTTTGACAGCCATTCTCAAATATCCCTCCACTAACTACAGTTGTACCAAAACACTCTCTCCAGCCATGTAAGAGGTTGTCAATTTACACAGAGTCTCACCAGTTTTAATTTTTGCAAACCTGATGGGTTTAAAAAAAAAAAAGACTCAATGTAATTTTAAATTGCATTTCTCTTACTATGAGTGAGGCTGAACCTGGAAATGAAGTCATGTGCTCTCTTTTCTGTGAACGGTCTAAATCCTTTGTCCCTTTTCTATTGGGTTCTTGGTCTTTTTCAAGAAACTGTTTTCGGTATGAACATCTTAATCAAATATGTGCATTTAGTCCTTTCTAAGTAGTCAGACCACAGTAAGCCTTATCAGTTACTCTCCTAGATCACAATGGCTGCTGCATGGTACTGAGACAACAGAGATAGCGGAGTTACTAATGGAGGCCTCAACTACACCAGCAGTTATATAAATAACTAACTTCGGCAGAGCTGACAAGTAAAGGAAATGAACCACAGCAAAACTGCTGCTCCTTTGGCCAAGGATGACTATGGACGTCTGCTGTGAAGCTAATCAGTAGTGACCAGAAAGAGCAGATCTACAAAGCAGAGGTTTAGCCACTCATTCAACAAATGTTGAGCCTCCTCTCTGGGCCAGGCCTGTTCTCCATGCCGGGGATACACTGCAGCAAATGCCGGTGTTAGCAACCGGGACGCGGAGTAAATAAAACAGGGAAGATGCGGGCTCTGAAGCTGTGCTTGTATCTGTGTGGAAGGGGCAGGGATAGCTTTTCTTTTTTAAATTTTTGTTGAGGGGGGCAGAGTCTCCTTCTATGGCTCTGGGCACAGTGCCGTGCCAAAATCTTGGCTTCAAGTGATCCTCTTGCCTCAACCTCCTGAGTAGCTAGGACTACAGGCATGTGCCACGAGATCTGGCTGGTTTTCTATTTTCTTTTTGTTTGTTTGTTTTGAGTTTTTTTTTAATTGTTCTTGTTTTGTTTGGGTTTTGTTAGAAACAGGGTCTTGCTCTTGCTTGGCTGCTCTCAAATTCCTGAGCTCAAGCAATCTACCTTGGCCTCCCAGGGTGCTAGGATTACAGGTGAGCTAGGGATAGGTGAGGAACTGAGCTGGTAGACATCTGGAGAAATGTCCCAGGCCAAGGAGAAACATGGGCTAAGGCCCTGAGGCAAGGGCATACCTAGCATGTTCCTAAAATAGGCGAATTACTGAAGCCAGTAAGTAAGGACAAGACCAGCAAGAGAATGAGTTCTCAGACTGATGGGTCACGCTTGGTAGGTTCATTTGCTCACTCTTGAGCCACTAGGCACTCGTACTTCTAAAGAAGGGAGTGTCTGCCCATGCACATCTGTTCAGAGTGTAAACTGGTGCAACTTTCAGGAGGGTCTTTGACAAACTACCAAAAGCCCTAAGATTCTGCATTCTCTCTGAGTAACTTTAATTTTATGATGTTAGTTTCCAGAAATAACTAACATAACAATGCCAATTCCGGTTTTGTCTATAATTCCCCAAACTTGAATATTCAACAATAGGAAGTTGTTAAATAATTATGGTGTGTCATATGTACAAATACTAGGCAACAATCTTGTGCCTTGGATGTCATCGTCTACTCTCTTTGAATACTTGAAAAGTCTAAGAATGACATCTCATACATGTACCCAATCACTTCAATTTGGGATTCAAATTCAATTACACACCCTGCGATGAGAAAGTGGGCTCTCATGTGAAAACAGACTGTGCGAATAGTAACACCATTCATAACAAAGAATACACAGTCTGGGGAGGCAGGCAAGAGAATAGGTAATAACAATTAAAATGTCTTTTAAGCACTCTTCTCCCACCTCTGCATAAGAGTCTAGAATTACACCAAAAGAGTTCATCTAACCTGCTAGGAATCAAAGGCCAAGCTTGTTTTTCTACCCCCTTAACTGGTATTTATTTCTCAAAGAAAACCTGCTGAGCAGGTGAGCATACAATAGGGTAGCTCCCCCTGGGCCTCCGTGGAGAGAGAGGGGAGCAGTGTACAAAGCAGCCATTGAGAAGCAAGAAGCAAGTCTTCCCCCGGGACTTCACTTAACTAGGCCCAGTTAGACCTCATCCCTGTTTGTCCACATTGACAACCCCCAGGGGATGCGGCTGGGGAATGGTGAGGCTCCCCTACAGTATAGTCAGCTGCACAACTGCAGAATGAACAAACCATCACATCTGCTCCCCAAAAGTCTCTATTTTATCCTCTTGAATTTACATTTCCATGGGAAACAATTTGCTTTTAAGGCTTCTCTATACAGTTATCCTTGATTCTGATGAAATTCAGTGGAGAAAGATTCTACCTACGGTCTTCTCACTCTTGGTCCCATTAGTAGCTAGGGCCATAGTTCTCTGCTGTGGGGGCTGTCTTGCGCATTGTAGGATGGCTGCCACCATCCCTGGCCTCTACCATCTAGAGGTCAACTGCTGCCCCTACTCTCAACAATCAAGAATGCCCTTGGTTGAGAAGTGGTGAGCTAGCAAATCCTCTAGGCAGATTACTAACGATCAGGACAAGTCATCCTTGAACTCAACACAATGCACGTGGTCTAATTGGGCTCTCCTGGAAATATCAGTGTACAAGCCCAAAGCTTGGTCAGGTGTAACAAAGACGGAAATACATTTAAAAATCTCCAGCCGGCACACTCAGTCTTCCGGTGTCCTCTGCTTCCCTCTGCACAGCACTCATGGCACTGGACTCCAGCTGTCAGCTTCTCCCCGTGTACCTGGAGCACTCTAAGAGCAAGGTCCACATCCCGCTGACAGTTACAGACTCAGGGCCAGCTGCATAGGTATTTTAATGCTTGGTTGTTGGAAGAACACATCCCCTCCACAACTAACGTCTCATTTGAGCTACCCACAGTAAAACTGAGCCTACTGTTGTCAAAATCCCCAAATGGATAACCCAGTATTACTGAAATTGCCCAGTAAATATAAGCTACATGAATTTGTGTAGAAAGCCAAGTATAATAATTCTCATGCAAACTGAAATTTAAGAACCACTACAGAGAGAGACAACAGGGAGGTCTATGCAGCTGGTGAGACATTCCAGCCATTATGCCTTCTAAGGTCACTAGCAAATCCCTGGAGGTGGACAAAGAACGGATGGAGAGTTCTAAACTGTTTCTGCTTGCCTGCTGGATTGACCATATTTCACATTTCATAATAAGACTCTATAACCTCAATATGCATGCTAATTGCTTATTTACAGGTAAGTTAAATGAGATAGAGGAGTTGATTCTTACTCTAATGTTAGTTACTGAAGTCTGCACATCATTACGTGTGATTCTACGAATGCTGAGCAAGTCCATTCTTCTGCTGAACATCTGCTTAGCTTTGGGGAGCACTGTGGCGACAACAGAGAAAAATCAGTCATGATTCCCATCCAGAAGTTTATCTGTCTGTGCACACTGTCCAATGCCCACATTACTTCTGCATGCCTCTGTGTTTAAATCTCACCTCACTGTAGTCCTTAAAGATCATGTTACCTTTCTACACGTTTTTTCCAGACATCTTAATTCATTCCTGGGTCTCAGAAAATTCCCAAATACTTGATTGATTTTTTCGTTCTCCTGAATTTCCCATGTAATTTTCATTTTGGGTCCCTGCAATAGCTTTAAACCCTTTTATCCTATTTCTAGTCTTTCTGTCCCACAGAAAATGCTACTGAGAAAAAATATCAAGTCTGTGTGCTGTGAAAACTAACACACTCGCCTCAGTGAACTGTGCATCCCTCCCCT